TTCCCTTCTCCCCTACCTCTGAGTCCTGGTCCTCAGCTCTCCTCTATCAACACTCCCCCCAGCTCGCTTGCCCCTTTCCAGTGATCTCATCCAGTCATGCAACGTTATCTCTGTGCCAATGACTCACAAATATCAATACCTCAATCCCAGACCTTATCCCTGAACTTAGACTCTTATACCCAACAGTCCATACTTAAGAGAAATAATGAACCTTAAGATGTCTAAAGTCAATCCCCAGACTTCCTCCTACCGTCGCAAAAAAGTCTTTTCTATTCTCAGCTTTCCTGGTCTCACTTAGTGGCATCAACTTCAATCTTGAAACTGTTCAAGCTACAACTTTTTTTTTTTTTTAATGTTTTATTGTGAATTATGTGATAGTTTACATGGGAGAACATCAGTTTTACATTCATTCTATCGTATATTGTCTCATTGCCATGGTTACAATCCCCTCCATGCATCATCAACCAACCAAAAGGTATACCCTGCAAGCCTGCCCCCCAGTCATCAGGGTCATCAGCACACAGCCCCTCTCCCTCTCTGTGTCTAAAGTCTCCAGCTGCTCCATCGCTCCACGTCATAGTCTCTGCCCCCATCTCAGGCATCACTGCTGCTCTGGGTAGGGTCCCGCCCTCCACTCTTCTCTGTTGATGGTCCTAGGGACCTCCGCTCCTAGACTAAAAAGTTAATCACTCCCCTCCTTGCTATAAAACGTCTACCTTTATATTTCCAACCCTCACAGTCAGTCCTGATAACAATTATTCACTGTTGTATCACAAGAGACCCGTCTTCATTTAATTTCATTAGTCCCACCTAGACAGATTGGATACTACTCACTGGAGATTTTACCTTCCTCCAGGCCCTCTGGATCTAGGTTCCCTCTTGAAAGCTTGTAAGCCAGTCACTTCTTGCCTTTGTAGCTCCCCGCCCCCCATTTTGGGTAGCCAATGTCCAAGTTGCCCATCCCTGTCTACTCTGTGTGTGGAGGGGGTGGGAATGATTCTTGCTGTAAGGATTTGTTCCCTCTTTTGAGCTACTGCTTCCATAGGTGTAGGTCAAGTTCATCAAATTGTATCAGAATCCTTTTTTCCCCTCTTCTTTCTTCTTCTGATTGAGATCTGATCATCCAGTCATTGAAGCCAGGTCAAGTGGGTATTATCTGCAAGTGTGGGTGTTCTTGTGCATATGCCCTCTCTTCTTATCAGCTGGATGCTTCACTCTTCACTTGAATCCTCTGTGGCTATATCACTGACTCTAGGCCCAAGAGTCCCCAGGTCTTACCACACTGTCAAACTACAACTTTTGAGTCTTGCTTAATTCCTCTGTTTATCTCCTACCTCACATCTAATCCTTCAGCAAACCCTGTCTACCAGATACGTTATATGTCCTCCATTGTTACAAGGCTGATTCAAGCCACCAAACATCCCTTGCCTAGATTACTCAATTATCTCAGGTTTGATCTTCCCACTTTTACCCTTGTCCCAGTCCCCTTTATCCATTCTCAATACCACCAACCAGAGGGATTCTTTTCAAACATTAAGTCAAATCATACCACTCCTTTGTTTGAAACTGCAATAACTCTCCTGCTGCAAAGTAAAGATCTATGGCTTACAAGGCCTCCCCACCCTCCCCAAATACACTTTTCTCTCCCTCCCACCACACTGGACTCAGTGCTGTTGCTATTGGGTGCCTTGAGTCTGTCCCAACTCCTGTTTGGGTTTCCAAGAGCAACTGGTGAGTTTGAACTGCCAACCTTGCGATTATCAGTCTAATGTTTATCCTACATCACCACATCAAGGCTCCTTGTTGTTGTTAAGTGCCGTTGAGTCAGTTCTGACTCATAGCAACCCTGTATAGGGTTTCCAAGGGCTGGTGGGATTGAACCACCGACCTTGTGGTTAGCAGTCCATGTGGATCTTATAGCGCTACACCAGGACTCCTTGGTTTTCCTCAACTCTCCAGGAGTGCTCCTGCTCTAATGAGTTTTGTACTAACTATTCCTTCTACCTGCAATGTTCATCCCCGCTTGACCTTACCTCCTTCAATCTCTGGGCAAATGTCTTTTCGATGAGGCCTACCCTGATCAGACTACTTCATGTAATAAGCAATCTGTGTTCATCTCTCTCACTCTATTTTTTTCCCCCAAAGCACCTATCAGCTTCTGGTATACTATATTCAGAATGGCTGAGGTACAGGGAATTACTTAATAAGGCCCTTCTAGTCAGTTAAGGAGCTCTGGTAGCACAGTGGTTACGAATTGGGTTGCTAACCTCAGGGTCAGCAGTTTGAAACTACCAGTGGTTCTGCGGGAGAAAGAAGAGGCTTTCTGTTCCTGTAAAGATTTACAGCCTCAGGAACCCTGTACAGGGTCACTATGAGTTGGAACCGACCCCACGGCACATAACCACCACCAGTCAAAAGCGCAGTCTTTGTATGGGGGGGGGGGGGGAGCGCTGAACTGGGAAATGTCCTAGATCCAGGAGACAGGGAGTTGCAATACCAGCAGAACCTGAGGGAAGTGGGAAGCAGGGTAGAAAATCAGCAGTTGTAGAACCAGGAAACACATGCGAAATGGAGCTGAGTGGGAAAGCTGAGCACCTTCAGGCAGGAGGCCTAATGGAGGAACGGCTCCTCAGATCCACAGGGCGAGAAAGCTGAACTCGAGCCAAGGCTTACAGGCTAGAATGGGGTACCTCTGGGCACTTACTGGCAGGCGGAGCTTTGTACAAAGTAGTTTGTAATAATCAGCCCAAACAAGGCAGGAGTCAGAACAAAGGCCAGAGAGAGGCCCGCCTCTGGGCATAGCTGAGAGGAGACTGTTCTGATTGAAGAACACTAGCCCGAGTTGTTTCTAATCCTGAATTGTAACCTATTACTTCCCTCATCGATCTCATAATCACGAGTATGGTCTGCAGGTTCTGTGTGGCCAGTGCAATGAGTTATCGAACCTAGTGCTGTGGAGGTGACAGCTGAGGTCAGAATTGGTAAAAAGGTTGGAGAAGAGCCAGTCTGACCTTCTGCCTCATAGGAAGGAATCAGCCTGGTGCTATTGATGCTGATAATGAACCTCCTCCCACCTTGTGAAGTCAGAGGTCAGACGCCTCTCCAACAGTATTCTACAGTGGCCAATTCATACCATTTTACCAAGGACTTTCCTGGTTCTAAGGAGCTCTGGTGGCACTCCAGGATAAGCACTGAACTGCTAATCACAAGATCACAGTTACAACCTACCAGCCACTCGGTGGGAGAAAGACGAGGGGTTTTGCTCTTATACAGATTTATAAAGGAACGCTGGTAGCGTAGTGGTTATGAATCAGGCTGCTAACCTCAAGGTCAGCAGTTCGAAACTACCAGCTATTCCACGGGAGAAAGATGAGGCATTCTGCTCCAGTAAAGATTTACAGCCTCAGAAACCCTGTACAAGGTCTCACTATGTGTAGGAATTGACTCCACGGCACACCACCATCACCACCACAAATTTCCAGCTTCGGAAACCCTAAGGCGCAGTTTTAATCTGTCTTGTTGGCTTACTGAGTTGGAATCTTCCATGGCAGTGGGCTGGGTTTGGTTTGGTCCCTGGTTTAAGTGCCCTGGGGACACAGTGCAGTAAGCCTTGGGCTGCTAACCACAAGGCTGGTGGTTCAAAATCACCAGACACTCTACGGCAGAAAGATAAGCCTATCTGCTCCCATAAAGGTTTACAGTCTCAAAAACCCTGTGCAGTTCGGCTTGTCTCACAGGGTTACCATGAGTCAGAATCCACTTGATGGCAGCGGATTTGGTCTGGCTCGGGAGCGGAGCGGTGGTTAAGCACTAATTAACTAGACTGTTAACCAAAAGGTCAGTGGCGCAGCCCTACCAGCAACTCTTCGGGATCAAGTTTTGGAAGTATGCATCCTTAAAAGGTTTACAACCTTGGAAACACTACAACTCAGTTCTACTCTGTCTTACAGGGTCACTGTGAGCTGGAACTGACATGACGACAATGGGTTTTCCTGGTTTCAGCACTGAATGGTGTGTGTCCTGGGAACCCCGTCAGCTCTGGACAAACCAGAACGCTGGTCACTCTAACTACTGAGTCACAGCGACCCTGTATAGGGTTTCCAAGGCTGTGAATCCTTCGGGGAGCAGAAAGCCTCATCTTTCTCCCACAAAGTGTCTGGTAGATTCAAACTGTTGACCTTATAGTTAACACTACACTGCCAGAGCTCCTTACATTGTATTGTTAAGTGCTGCAAGTCCGTTCTGACTCATAGTGACCCTCTATAGGGTTTCCAAGGAGCAGCTGGTGAGCTTGAACTGCCGGCCTTGTGGTTCAAACCGACCTTGCAGTCCAGTACATTAACCCACAGCACCATATCAGGACTCCAACAGGTAATCAATAGATAGGGCTTCCCCACTACTTTATCACAATTTTAATCAACCTGCAGCCAGAGTCACATTAGCAAACTAGGTGAAGATATTTACCTGTATTATTTTCAACCCTTCAAATTTAGTTGCACTAAAACTGCATTTTGAAAGTATGACCAAAAAAAATGGAAATTGATTTTTAAAAAAATTCTTTGCCCCAGCACACACACACACACACACACACACATGTGTGGTATGTGTATGTGAGCACTACATTTGTAGGATAAGCACTGGACTGTGAGCCACAGGTCGACAATTCCCGCTCTGCAGTAGAAAGATGAGTCTTTCTGCTCCTGCAAAGATTTGCAGCCTTGGAAACCCTATACAGGGTCGCTAGAAGTCGGAACTGACTCCACAGCCTTTCCACTTAACATTTTTAAGCCAAGCAGGGATTTTCACTTACGGATGCTGGGATTCACTGCTGCTTTTTAAAACTCCACATGACCCACACATATCCCAAGTGTCACTTAATATGACCTAATTCAGAAACAAATTTGAACACCCCAGTCCTAACCCTAACTGTTCTCTGCAAAGTAGCAGTTTCCAGTGTACATGACTAAGACCTGCAACACCAAAGACAGGCCGATTCTTACCTCCTGTGTAGAGAAAGGAACTGGACAGGCCTCCAAAGTAGATGAGAGCTAAGTGCTCCAGTTTCAGAGGGGACAAGTAGTAGAGGCAGGCTGCACAGATACAGCCCAAGGTGTAGAGGAAGACTCCGAACCGGACAACATCCTGGGGCTCCAAGATTCGGTCCACCAGAGTCCTATCATCACTCTTTTTGTGGTCAATGCCCTTGGAAAAGTCATAGTAAGTGTTGACCAAATTGCCAGCCCCGTGCACCGCCAGGACAGCCACGGCACAACCCACCAGTAGCCTAGGATCTAGCTCGCCCTGAGATCTGTAGGCTAGAGCACTGCCTAGGGCCACAGGGGTGAGGGAGGCACTGAAGCTCCAGGGTCGCAGGGCCAATACGTAGGAGGCGCACTTCTGTCTCCAGGAGCGCTGGGGGACCCTGTCTTGCCCGGAGCACCCGTTACTAAGTGGGTCCCTATCCCCTATTTTGGCCGTCTCTCCCGTGTTAATGCTAATCTTCTCCCCTGGGACCTGCGTGGCCGCCATGAAGACTGCACGTGGCTAAGGTTGGCTCTATGTGAGCCACTCACGGCACGGCGACTGCTCCAAGACTACAAGGGACGGGGCGGGGCGGGAGGGGCGGGTGGGCCTGACCTTCCTTCAGTTCCGCCCCGGGGCAGGGGCTGGGTGGAGGGCCAAAGACAACAGTGAGCGAGTCTTGCACCCCACGAGGTCCAGTGGCACTGACCCGACCACTCGTCACCTCCAGTCCCCAGACCAACGTCAGAGTCGAAGGCCGAGCGGCGCCCGCCTTCCCCCGGCCGCCGGCACCGCCATCTTGTGTGCAAGTCTCCGGTGGCCCGTCCGGAAACAGGGTCCTGTCTTTCGAGGCGGGCCGGGCTGGGCACCGGCGAGGGGCGGGGACGGACGGGCAGGGCTGTGGGGCAGGGCGGGGAGATGACCCTGCGGTCCAGCCCCTCCTAGGCGGAAGGACCACTCCCTGCTGCTGGTACCCAACTAGCTGGAAACAGCCTCACTAGCAGCAAAAGAAGGATCACAACTGCCTGAGACCTTAAGATTTAGCATTAATTTACTCATTCAACAATCATTTATTGAGCCCACTGGATACAGACGCTGATCTGATGCTGGGGACGCAGTAGTGAACAAAACGGAGAAAAGCCAGGGAGCCAATTGAAGATGATCGTTGTTGTTGTTGTCAGATGCCATCAAGTCAGTACTGACTTATAGCGGCCCTAGGTCCAACAGAACAAAACACTGCCCGGTCCTCAGAACGGTTGCCACGCTTGAGCCCATTGATGCTGCCAGTTTGCCAATCCATCTCACTGCGAGTCTTCTTTTTCCCTAACCCTCCACCTTACCAAACATAAACTTCTCCAGCGATTGAAGGTATAATTTACCTTTAAAAAAAAAAAAAAAACTTAAAAAGCAAATGCGGTAAATTGAAGCTCATGAATGGGAGGGGATGTCTACGAAACTAACAGGCTGTAGGTGTGGGAGTCCTGGTGTGGCTCTGTGGGTTAATGTGCCAGAGTGTAAACCTTTTGAACTACAAGGTGGGTGGTTCAAGCTACAGCTGCTCCTTGGAAACCCTATACAGGGTCGCTATGGGTCGGAACCGACTCGACGGCACTTAACAACAACAACAATAACAGGTGTGGCGCTTTAGGAGTCCTGGTGTGGTGCTGTGGGCTAATGCGTCAGACTACAAAGTCGTTTGAACTGCAAGGTCGGTGGTTCAAGCTCACCAGCTGCTCCTTGGAAACCTTATACAGGGTCGCTATGTGTCAGAATCGACAGCGCTTAACAACAACAAAGTAATGATCACGTAGGAGACCTGGTGGCAAAGTGGCTAGAGCACTTGGCTACAAACTGAAAGGTGGGTGGTTTGTATTCACAACTGCTCATGTGAAAAAGATGTGGCAGTCTGTTTCCATAAAGAACACAGCTTTGGAAACCCTATGGGGCAGTTCTACCATGTCCTATAGGGTCCTTATGAATCTGAATCTACATGATAGCCATGGGTTTGGTTTAGTAGTAATCACAACAGCAAGAATTCCTGCTTTTTATTGTGCAATTAACGTGCCATATGCTGCTCTGCCAGCCTTTTTTAATCCCTTCATTCTCCAGTTTATTCCCTCTTTGGGGCAAATAACTACCCTCCTTCTGTCCCTACTGGGTGTCCAGCTGTCCTCACTGCCCCTTCTTCTGGGAGCTTATGGCCCATATGTGTGGTTCTTTTCGATTCCAGAGAGCCAATTGTTAAATTTCCAGGAATTTTGTGATGGGGTCATTAAGTACAACCATTAAAGGAGCTCTGGTAGCGTAATGGTTACAAATCGGGCTGTGAACCTTAAGGTCACCAGTTTGAAACTACCAGTTGCTCTGCAGGAGAAAGATGAGGCTTTCTGCTCCCATAAAGATTTACAGCCTCAGAAACCCTGTACAGGGTCGCTATGGGTCGGAACCAACTCGACGGCACTTAACAACAACAACAATTACATTATATTAAAAAACCAAGGTAGCAAATACTCAAACCTCACCACTTTCTAATTATTTTACCAATCATGTTATTTACTTCTACCATATCTGCTATGGGAGAGAGATGAGGTTTTCTGCTCCCATAAAGATTTGCAGCCTCAGAAATCCTGTACAGCGTTGCTGAGTCAGAACCGACGTGATGACACAAGACCACAACCACCACCACCGTTGTATCTGAATGATGGAAATACAACATATAATGGTACGCTGCTGCATATCTCTTCTCGATTCAGTGATGTCCTTTGGTAGCTTGAAATCTGCTGTGGCGGTAGTATTTAAATCACACAAATCAACAACTGATGAGTAATTATTTTGTTGATTGTCTAGACTTTTTAAAGTGACATGAGAAAATGTCACTTTAAAACTTAAGATTAATTTAAACTTAAGAGTGTGTCAAATCTTAAACTTAAGAGTTTAAGATTTAAACTTAAGAGTTTGTTTTAAACTTAAGAGTGTGTCAAATCTTAAACTTAAGGGTGTATCAAATCTTACCCATTAGATTATGAATGTTGTTGTGTGCTATGGAGTTGATTCTGACCCTATATGACAAAGTAAAATTTCCCCATAGGGCCTTCTTGGTTGTAGTCTATACAAGAGTAGGTTGCTAGGCCTTTTCTCCTGAAGAGCTCTTGAGTGGGTTCCAACCACTGACCTTTTGTTTAGCAGTCAAGCACTTAACCATCATACTACCAGGGTTCCTTAGATTGTGAATAGGACAAAACAAATTTGAGTAAATATTCTTCCAGTATCTGAAAAGTATTCAGCAAAGAGGTCATTCAAGTCACTGACAAACAAGTTAAGCTTTGACATCTATCTTGACATGTCAAAACATCAAACCAACATTCACACTGAAACTACTCATTGATCAACTGTGACCACAGATAGGCTACACAATACAGTGAAAGCATTCTGTGAAATCAATTTGTCATATGGAATTTACAATCAACAACATTGTATCTTTTATTCCTATTTGAAAATTGTGTTTGTTGTTGTTGTTAAGTGCCGTCGAGTTGGTTCCAACCCATAGCGATCCTCTACAGGGTTTCCAAGGAGCGACTGGTGAGCTTGAACCACCAACCCTGCAGTTCAAACTGATTTTGCAGTCTAGCGCATTAACCTACGGTGCCACAGAGGACTCCATAAATCGTGTTATACAACCTTTATATCGGTACAGTTTATAAAGCAAACAGAGTAGACATGCACCTATGACTGACTACATACTTGGTACAAAATAAAAATGCTGGACCCTTGTTCAAACATCATTAAGAATTTCAAGAAATTGACAGCATGGAATTACAACTTGACTGGTAACATCCTAAAAACACTTGCTTTGTATATGCATACTACACCATCCAGTCCAAAGCTGGTTGTTAAAATAGGAAGGGAGTTCAAAACATTTGTGGAAAATGGAATTTAAAAGACAGAAAAAAATGTAAACTTTATTTCTCAACATGGGCTCCATCAAGGTCAAGACACATCTAATCACGTCAATGCGGTCTTTTTTACATTATTAACTGAAGAAAAATGAGAGTCTTTCAAATTTTTTTTTAAGATTAGGAAAAACTGAAGTCAGAAGGAGCCAAACCAGACACCTAAAATTTCCCCTAGAAAAACTGCTCTTGTGTGAAGAGAGGAAAGAGCAAAGGCATTATCATAGTGGAGAGGACTCTCTGGTGAAACTTTTGTTGTTGTTGTTATGTGCTGTGAAACGTTACTAGGTGTTTTTCTGATAAAGCATTAACTAACTTTCTCAAAACAGTATCATAACAAACAGATGTTATCGTTCTTTGGCCCTCCAGAAAGTAAATAAGCAAAATGCCTTGTGTTTCCCCCAAAAAACTGTTTCCATGACCTTTGCTCTTGACTGGTTTGTTTTTGCTTTGACCTGACACCTTCTACCTCTTGGTAGCCATTGCTTTGAACATGTTTTGCCTTCAGGATCAAATGGATAAAGCCTTGTTTCATCTCTTACTACAATTCTATCAAGAAATGCTTCAGGACCTTGATCCCACTTGTTTAAAGTTTCCATTGAAGGCCATGCTTTTGTCTGCAGCTGACGTAAGCACAACAGTTGTGGCGCTCATTGAGGGGAAAGTTGGCTCAACTCTAGTCTTTCAGTTAGATTTGTGTAAGTTGAACCAATTAAGATGTTTATGGAATTGGCTAGTGCACCAGACGGAATACATAGAAATCAAATTGACTACATCTGCGGAAAGAGATTAAAGAAAGCTCCATATCATTAGTCAAAACAAAGCCAGGGGCAGACTGTGGAACACACCATCAATTACTCATATGTAAATTCAAACTGAAGCTGAAAAAATGAAAACAAGTCCACGAGAGCCAAAATATG